CGTTGTCTGTTGTTGTTGTTGCTGTTGGTGGTGTTGCCCAGGAATCTTCATCACCTCTGTTTTCTCTATGTTCACCTGAAGTCCTATCTTCTCTGGATGCTTCTTCTGCCAACTTGTTACTTTTCACTTGCATATCTTCCAGTTTGTGGGAAATCAGACAGACATATATCATCGGCGAAGTCCAGATCCTCCAAGTATTTTGTGTCAGTCCATTTTATGCCTGTTTCCTCATTGCCCGCTGTTTGTCGCATTATCCAGTCTACTGCAATCAAGAAAATCATTGGCGATAGTAGACAGCCTTGTCTTACTCCTGTCCTCACTTCGAAGGATTCCGTAAGTTTCCTGTTGTGGATTACTTGGCATGCAGCATTGTCGCACAGCTGTTGGATGAGATGTATAATTGTCGGTGGCACCCCGTAGTAGCGAAGTAGTTTCCAAATCACCTCTCGATCGACGCTGTCCGCTGAAGGCCTTTTCAAAGTCGATGAAGTTGAGATAGAGAGCTGACTGACATTCCAAGCTTTGTTCAATGATGATCCGTAATGTGGCGATCTGATCAATGCATGACTCGTTTCTCCTGAATCCAGCCTGTTCCGGTCGAAGTTTTTCATCCAGGTTGGCATGTTTGATTCTCTCCAGGATGATGCGGCTTAGTGTTTTGCTTGGAATGGACAGGAGCATAATTCCGCGCCAGTTCTTGCATTGACTTAAGTCTCCTTTCTTTGGTAGTTTGAATAAGTATCCTTTTTTCCAATCAGCAGTTACTTTGCCTTCTTTCCACACCTTCTCCAGTAGTGGAGTCATCAAGTCCGCTGTTGTCTCTGGGTCCGTTTCCAATGCTTCTGCTGGGATTCCATCTGGTCCTGCTGCTTTTCCAGCTTTTAGCATCTTGATTGCCTTCAGGACTTCTGATTTCGTCGGGGGGTTGGTGTTCACTTGTAGCTCTGTCTCCGTTGTTGGTATTGTTGGGTGCGTTGTAGGTGGTGGTCGATTTAGGAGTCTTTTGAAGTGTTCAGCCTAGTGTTTCCTTTGCTCCACTTCTTTGGTGAGTGACTTTCCGTTGTCATCTTTCACCGGCTTGATTTGTGTCAAACGTTTGCCCGATAGGTACCTAGTTGTTTGGTAGAGTGTCGCGAGGTCTCAAATAATAAAAATGCCACACCGTTTAATATATAAGTGAATTCTCAGCTGAAGTATATAATTCTCGCATTTGATAATATAGAAGAAGAGAATTTTAATTGCTTATGGTTATTTTAACTAAACATGTAAGAATTAGTAAGTTTTGGGTGGAGTTACGTGATACAAAAACGGTCAAGGAAATTGGCTGCTAATGTGACTAGGGTAGTAACAAAAGTGATGAGTTGTCGCAAACAGTTGTCAAAAAGGAGTTACGTAGTAATATAAATAGTTTGATTGAGTTCTACTCAGGATACACATGCTGCTGCTGGATTCAACATATAACTTGGCACCGAAGTGCAGCAGTTCGAGTTGCCACGTTCCAAATAGCACACAAAGGTAGACAGGAAAATGAGAGGAGAGAATCAACAGAATTTAGATAAGTATAAGAGTGAAACAGAATGAGTAATGGTAGAAAGGAATAGGAAGGTTAAAGAGACTGAATACATCTGCGCCATTGACAACGATTTTGAGCCATGTCACCTACTGTCTCCAGCCATTGATTCTTAGAGTCCCGAGGGCCCCAACCCGGAAGTCTGCATCTCCCTACTTGACTCAGTTTAACTGTCAGGGATTTCATGGACTGATGCCATGTTTTTGTTTGGCCACCTCTTACTCTTTTCCAACCTGCATCTATATCGGCTAGTAATGCCCGTCGGGGGAGACGATGGTTAGGCATGCGCAGCACGTGACCTAACCATCTCAATCTATGTAACTTCATAGCCTCTTCGATTGATTTTCCCTCTTTGCCCAACATTCTACGCCTAACGTCAACATTACTTACCTTATTATACCACCTAACGCGAGAAAGAGATCGTAAACATCTGTGGTCAAAAACAGACAATCTCTTCATGTCTTCCGCTCTCAATGGCCACGTCTCACTGCCATAGAGAAGGACGGAGCGAACTGCTGAGCAGTACACACGTCCCTTGGTTGACAGCCAAATGTCACGCCTACGCCAGAGACGGTGTAAGTTAGCGAAAGCAGCCCGAGCTTTCTGGATCCGGGCTGTGATTTCGTCACCAATCAATCAATCCGTTGGTGCTGATACAACTTCCCAAATAGGTGAAGTGGTCAACATGTTCTATCACTTCACTCCCTATCACTAAGCTAGGGGTAGACGTAGTCCAGTCCTGTAGCAGCATCTTGCATTTCACAGGGGCGAATGGCATGCCAAACATACGAAGATTGCTGCTCAGGGTTTTCAGAAGACTCTGCATTTTGTCAGCGTCCTCCCCTAACAGGATTATCTCACCTGCATATTCTAAGTCCATAAGACTATTCCATGGTAACAAATCGATTCCTAAGTCGTTAAGTTCAGTTAAGGATACTTCCATTAGCATATCTATGATGAAGTTAAACAGAAAAGGGGAAAGTGGACATCCTTGACGGACACCACTGGTTGTTATCAATTCAGATGACAATTCCCCATAAGCCCTTACACAGCTACGTGAGTTTGAGTAGAGTGCCTTGATTAGTGCAATGTACTTTCTTGGTACTCCCTTCATAGTCAAACATTGCCATAGTACCTCTCGATCCACGGAGTCGAAGGCCGCCTTCAAGTCAAGAAATATGGCAATTGTTGGACGCCTAAAAGTGTGTCTATGTTCTAGGATCTGTCGGAGAGTGAAGATATGATCTATGCACCCTCTACCTGGCCTAAAGCCCGCTTGATTTTCCCTCGTTTGTTCCTGCCGAGTTTGGCTTAGTCTGTTCATGATTACTGAGCCTAGGATTTTAGAGACTATGTTCGTTAGGCTGATTCCTCTATGATTATCACATGAGGACTTGTCTCCCTTCTTGAATACTGGTATAATGAGTGACTTACCCCAGTCTGATGGAACCGTCTCTGATTCCCAGACGTTACCTAGTACCTTAGTTAAACTATATACTAGTATGTCACCCCCATATTTAAACACCTCCGGAATAATTCCGTCGGGTCCTGCCACTTTGCCTCGTTTCAAATTACAGATTGCTTTGGTGACCTCACTTACAGACGGCGGGCCAGTGCATATGTCTCATTCGGGTGTGTGCTGGATGGCGGGGAGGCTCAGTGTGGCTGTAGGCAAGTTAAACTGTTCCTCGAAGTGTTCTTTCCAGCGTTCGAGGCGTCTATCCTGAGAGCTAATTAAGGAGCCATTTTTCTCACAAATAGTCTCACTTATGATTTGCCTTCTCCCACCCGTTTCCCTGATGAGTCTAAAGAGGATACACATAGGAACAAAGTAGAGAATACGAAATTACATAAGGGTTCTACATGAATACAAGAATTATAAGCAATTAAAGAAATAAGTAAACAAACAAGATTAAGTCATCAAAAATCAGCAAAGTTGTTACCATGATGGTAGAAGTGGTTGTATTACGGGCTACTGAAGAAAGACTATAACATATCACGCAGGATGTTAAAGCTTGTCAGTAGGGTAAGCAACGTGCCACTTAACCAGCTTGTTAATATTCTGGTCGACAGTCACCTGGACTCATGTGAAAAATGGGCCAAATCCATTTTAACTAACTCACACCACCCTCTTCATTCACAACTCTCCCCTTGCATCTCATCAGGTAAAACCAGAAGCCTATATAGAAAACTATATGCTCGCACCAGCAAGTACAAAAACTCAACCATACCCTACTTAGCTCGTGTTCTGTGCGATAAAGAAAGCATTTGGCGTGACACCTATAATTCATTAAATAGTCAGTAGTACAACTGGACCTCGTCTTTCCAACTCATATCATTTATAGGTACAACATTTTCTTTCTTTCTTTTCGTTTTCTCTCTCTCTCTTTTCCGTTATGTGCTGCTTTGTTTCTTTCTTCCGCTTACGCCGGTAAATATGACAGCACCTACTTTTCTAACACCTTCAAACACTGTTCAGCTTTGGCTTTACTACCGACATGCCAATATGTTGTTGTAATAATGCACTGAGATTTCCTTAATCTATGTAGAATTCTATTTATTGATAATGTACTAACTGGATGCAATACTGTAGTAAAAAATGCTGAGAATTCCATTCTGTATCGCAAGTACTGTTTTAGAATAAAGCAAATTATTATTATTATTATTATTATTATGAACGCCATCCAAAACTTACTAATTCTCATTGCAACAATTCCCTTTACAAAGCTGCGTGTGATCGTATTTATATATGAATTAGAGCAAGTAATACCGTTATCCAAATGTTATGGATGTAGTGCAGATGTGACAGATCTGAATCAGTACTCCAGTGCATTCATTAATTCTCTGTCCAGATGCCCTCCCCCAAAATAAATGACCTGGTACGGCCAAGGGTGAGTAAAATTGGTCTTCCTCGTAAAAAGTAGTCATGTAGGCACCTGTTCACAGCTTCTACCTTCTCCCCGCGGTGGTGTTCCCACAAATGTGCAATGGTGAATAAGAATTTTCGGCGCTTATCATCAGATTGATGGACATGGAGGTACACCTAGAGGAGTTAGGAAACGCTGATTCCAAACGTATGGTGTTTACTGGCTCAAGAATCCAAAAAGAACGAATGGTGTGTGAACTTCTTTAGGTCACCGGTATCTGTGGGACACAATTCCTGATGCTGCTATGTTGTCCTGTGCATCAAACTAAGTCCAAGGCTAGGGGTAGGGTGGTCGCTTAAGACCAGTACTTGTTTTGGTTTCAGCGTCTGGGAAATATCTCAGATTTCACAAGTTGCGAATCTCTTGGTACTCACACTGCACCAAAATTGTTTAAATATAATAATAATGATGTTTATGCACAACAGATCCACATTTCATCTTAGACTTCTCAGGTAATTCAGACTACAAAACTGAAGAAAGAATCAAAAAGGTACTTCACTGTTTCGCTATTTACATAAATTTATTATTTCTTTTCAATCACAATAGTCATACAAAATAAGTATAAGTATTTTTTTTCTAAGATGTATTTACACTTAATGGTACAAGTTTTTCTGTATAGTGTTCAATTACTGTGTCACATAATTGATCTGCCATTTCTAAACTAACTCCATTCATTTCTGATTTCCACGATGAACTTTCCACCCGACGTACATCCCGAAGTAAGTAGCTATAGACAAAGGCAAAAGAATGAAATATTACCTCTTAACATGAGTGTTTTTATAAACAGCGTTTTTGTCACTAAATAAATAGTAGTGTAGTTGGAGAATTAAAGACAAATAAACAAACAACTAGTCGCCATATTTTGCATTCTGTACATTACACATATTGCATTATTCTACTTGTTTGCCGCTTCTCAACAGTGACATCCCATTATTTTTATATATTGTTGAAGTTTGGATAAATAAAAAATAATAATAAAATAAAGCAACAAATTTCTAGTCTCTTACCAACAAGCGTCCACCTCTTTCAATCAGCATTGACATCTATATACTCTAACTGATCAACTCGTAAAAACAAAACTAATCCTTACAAACCAAACTACAGAAAATCAATCTGACGCTCGCTAGTGACTTGCTACAGGATGAAGTTTCCTGGAGTTCTAGTGAGAAGTCGTGACCAGTGAGGTCCATCCAGATGTCACGTGTGAGGATGGATGTCCCACCTACGACAATGGTTGGGGTCGCGCTAAATCACGAATTGGTAGAAGTTAGAATTCATGAGCCATTGAATCGGGTCCCAGTGGCTGAATGGTATACGAGCTTGCCTTGTAACCGGAAGCTCCTGGGTTAGAACCCCAGTGGGTGCGTACTACCAGTACTCCCTGGTTTTCAATGGTTCTCTAACTGATCCGTGATCCGTGATCAACTCGTAAAAATTAGAGACTGGTTATCCCCTTGATGGAATTCAACTCTCTTGCTTTAAAAAAAGCGGCGGAAAATCAACTAATTTGAGAGTAGTTGTCATCACTAACATCATAAAACCATTGGAAATCAGGTAACGTTGAACTTTAAAATTACCCTTATACAATTATTAAACAAAATATCAGTCTAAGTCGCCTTCAAAGAATGCTTAATCTGGAGACACCTCGATAACTAATTTTAAGTAAAACGCAGAAATCATCCAGCTAGTTAATTGATTATATTCTACATCATGAATTAAAAGTCAGTCTGAACGAAGAATATTCTTCCCAGTGAATTATCTTCAGGTTCTTACAATTGTAGAATATAATACTTAAGTGTTGCTTTGCAGGAATTCGATTGGTTACAAGTTTGCTTACGAGTTGACATCAGTTAGAAAACCACTGGAAAACCTGGGAGTACTGGACAGCCGCTTTGTCCTGCTTTGGGACTCTTCACCAGTCCGCGCACCCACCGGGGTTCGGCACTACAATAGCCGTTTATGCGGTGGATACATATTTACGCAGAATAACAGATTAGTTATAGGGTGACAAAATAAAAAGTACTTGTGTGACAACGTGCTGGGCTGAATGTAATTAGAAAACATTGTGAAATGCGAGACGATGATGAAGTAAAATTTACTAGTTCAAGGCTGTAAAAAGTATCCGATGACTGGTTAGTACTAGACGGCAGTGAATAGTTCATAGTGTTGGACTAGTGAATTTTACTTCCCTGCACTGTATGAATTCTATTATAACTAATCATTGTATTGCGTTTCATAATATTCTCTAACTGCATTGAGCCCAGCACGTTTGGTACACAAATTCTATTTATCTTGTCACCTTATAACTAATCTGTTATTCTATGTAAAGATGCATCCATTGCATAACCGGCTATTATTGTACCGATAAAAATTATAGTTTGTATTTGTAAGAACCATGATGACAATTCATTGAAAAGAAAATTCTTCATCCACAATGACTTTTAATTTATGATATAGGAATATTTCACACTTAAATCTCATAATTATATTCCAGATTAATCAATGAAATTATACATCAGAGGAGAAGACAAAAACCAGAACAAGCGACAGATGATGTATGGGAAATACAGGTAGACATATATTCACCTGTACCTTTAGAAATCAGCCGTTTTTGATGGTTATTTATGTCTCTTTATGGTCGGGAAATTGGAGTTTTTGACCGGTGCACTGAAGATTGTACAAATTACTGGAAATTTACTATATGAATTGAGAAGCAGTAACTCCAAAAAATAAGTTTGTCACATTTACGTGGTGTTGTGAAGAAACTCATTGTTTCATAGACTGCAATACAGATTCGTCACAAACCGATATCAGTCGGATAGGCCGCTATAAGCTGAAGCATTTGATATTATTTGAACTTAATTACATGCGTAAGACGTTTCATTTACCAGGCTAAGAGGCGGACCTATTGTGTGAGGGCTGATTATATTACGCAGTTGGCCAAACTGAAGTAGTTGGAACGGGACCTATAATCCGTTGTTTGCAAACTGGCCTCTTAAGCCGACGACCCACATATCTAGTGTACATGTGTTTTGCAATGCATTACACACTTGTGCTCCCATGCGAAAACGACTCCACAGTTGTTGAGTCATGCAGTAGTTGGGGCTGAAATAGAATAACCCTTATTTTCCTTATGGTTCAGATTGGCACGATAGTGTGTGACCAATATCCCAAATATTACCAGTGAGTAACCCGCTGCGTACCCGACTCGACTGACCTTGGTTCTGAATGGCATCCTTAGCTTATGTCAATTTATTTAACTTCCTGCACATCCTTTAAATGAATTTTGGATTAATAAAAATGGTATAAGTAATTAAAGTTGGAATTACCTATCACTTTGACGCCACTGTATTCGTGTGTCATACACTCGTAAGAGTCCACCATCAACACGTAAAAAGAAACGCTGTAACAAGAAGAAACCGGTGGACATTGCACGAAATTTTACATTTAACATAGACATTCCATTATCACCTAATTCATCTTCGTACAATGTTGTATTGACAAAAAATTTAATAGGATCTTTCCGACGTAAGTACTCCATATCTAAACCTTCAGTTGTACGAGACACACTCCAAGGTCCTACATTGTGAGGGAAAAGTGTAAAATGAACAACTCACTGATAATGAGGATAAAAACTTTAGCACCAAATTATTTATACTAAGATAGTGTTAAATTAAAATGATCTAGTGGTTGTCATCTGAAATCTGGTATCAATAAAAACAATACCACTTGTTTTTGATTCAATTTTGATTGGAGCGAAAGGTTTGGCCTCTGATGATATACCGGCTCCTACTACGGACGCTTCGACGATGTCTGAAGACTAACTTGAAGTAATTTAGTGGATGTTGACTAGTGATGGAACCTAGGATGAGCATTTCATCTTACTTTGGACGTCATTTGAATGGGAGTGTAGATACATGCAGATAACGAGTCACAATTAGGATGAAATGAGTGTCTTGGGTTCCACTACTAGTCGCCACCCACCAAATTAAAAACAATACAATTTTTTGGCTGCTTTATGCTAATCTTAAAGATAACATTTATTTTTTCCAGCATAAAATAAACCTTACGTGAGCAACAGACAGTATTAGCAATACTGTTACATATCGATACAGACCAGTATCAATCGCCATCAACGGGAGATCTAACAGAGGTTACCTCCTACACTTATCCGCCTAGGAAGCATCGTCTCAACTACAGGCAGTCGGAACGAATGAAGATGTCAAAGCCAGCCAGTCAGCCAGTCAGAATCGGAAAGAAAAGATACGCACGCCTTCATCAACCTGAAACCAGTTTGGAAATCTTCTGCACTGCACTCCGCTTCAGCATAAACAACAAGATTCGCATTTTCAATACCAATGTCAAGTCCGTCAATTCTTCTATACGAATCAGAAACTTGCACTGCATGTCACGGAAAGGACTTCCAACAGCCAGTTGCAGACTTCCATCAACAGCTGCCTTCTCTCCATACTGAAGGTTAAATGGCCAGAAAGGATAAGCAACAAAAAACTAAGGGAACAAACCAACCAATAGCCGATCGTTCAACAAATATGTAGGAGAAAGTGGAGATGGATCGGACATTCATTGAGGAGGCCGCCAAATGACATTGCGCCAGCCCATCACTAGAGTGGAGTCCAAATGGGAAGTGACGAGTGGGTCGTTGTTGTGGGGGTGACATGGAGATCATGTGAGAAAGAGATGAGAGAGCTTAGTCAATCTTGCATCCAGGTGAAGAGGACGGCAGAAAACAGAACAAATTGGAGATGTGTTGTTGAAGCCCTATTTTCCACTCGGAGCGCAAGGGAGTAATAATAATAATAATTGATACATACTTACTAAGTTGATAGTCAGCATTTGACAAATGTCCTGAAAATCCAGAAATTGTTGCTTAGTTCGCACAAGAGTACATCTTATCGACGGTTAGACGCTGTACAATTATGTCATTTGTTCACTTTAAGTGAGTGAGCTCATGTAAGAAAGAAGAGAACTGAGTAAGCATGCCTCCATAAAGCTAAAGGAAACACGAGGAGACGATATTCTCAACAGAGACTACTCGAAATAGAGATACTTGACAACAGACAGCAGCGCAACTACATGTGTTCTAGTGTTGAGCTTCTTCCCGGTGATTTTGAAGAACTGTTCGAAACAAACTCCAAAACTTTTTTGGATATCTAACATGACAATACGTGTTGTAGTATTATTTAGCCACGAAATAACCATTTTATTAGTGTGCTAATTTTCCACTTGGTATTGCTATCCACTTATCTAAAAGGTTTTATCAGGACATAACCAACAGTTTCCTTCTAACAAAGTGGCTGGACCTGCATATCACAATGGACAAAGGAGTAGTACCAGATGATAATTATTCCTGAGAGTTTACTATACGGTTAAAACTAAGAGCAGTCTTCATAATAGTCCAGACTATTTACTTAATGGTAAGGGTCAGGGGAAGGAAGTATACTGCTGTCAAACGGTGTAACCACAGTGGGATACTTCCTCAACAAGCCATCACATATGCTGCTTTCCTACTCTGAGAAAAGTGGTTAAAAAGGGTAAACCCCAAAATTTGTATATTCTGACTTATTTAACGACACCATGAAACCGGAGACAGGATGCTTAGTAAGTTAGAGAAGCATATGAAATACCATAACGAAGAACTGGTCGTCTTCTACAATTGTGTTCACATAATGACTTCTTTCCGACTGGCGAATATAACAACAGCCATTGTCTCAGTCAGTGACCACATAAATCAAACCAATGGTGAACATAGGTGCACCGTGTTGCATTAAATCATAAGTGACTGAAGTTCGAGACTCCGCCTTCAGTGGCTATGAAGTCTTCGTGTATTAGTTCGTGTACTTATGTGAAAATTGTTGAATGAGTGCAGGAAACAAAGTGGTGAACTCTTTGGTACCCATCTGATAAATAAAAATGTCAAATTTGCATTCAGATTAAACACTTGTCTAAACACGGTACTGCATAAGAGCTGACTTGATTCTAGTATGTACCATACTATGAGCCAAACAGTTAGTGTGAGGGTTGATCATACTACGTAGTTGCCTAGGATGACGTAAGTGGAATGGTCCTACTGTACAACTGCGAGATGACCACAGAAGTGAGAGACCTATGCAATATTTAGGCATCCGGCCAGCAGTGCCTTAATAGCGTTATAAGTTTGGTAGAACTAATAAGTAGGTTATGTAATGGATAAGTAAAACTGACAGGCCACTGGTTAGGGTCTTCGACGAATGCTAAGTATTCATATTTGCTACTTACCTGAGTATCTCAGGCTAGCAGAAACAGAACTTGATTGGAAGAAAGTGAAGGTCAAAGAGGTCACGAAAAATTTTAGGATTGCATACACGTGGATACTTTACAGATATGCAATCTGAATACTTGCTACAAGTTAATACCGTAATTAATCTATAAAAAGTATCCATCACAATAAACATCCCAATAATGCGGAACTTACCAGACAATGTTCCTGTATAAGGAGTGGTAAATGTCCAGTCATATGGTTTATGTGCTACTAGCTCTTCGTTGTTAGTAGATCGGGATTCTCGCCAATCCTTTGCGAAAGGTACCTTTGAGAAAGGCGTGCAGACTTGATTATAATAGTAATATTAACTTACCTCGACTGTTATGTTCTTTGGATCCACCAATTTAAGAGCATCGAGTGCATTAAAATCAATTTTACATACTTTAGTTTCTATATCTTTCGACTGACAGAAATAAATTGAGAGTGAATTTTGGTCAAATATCATCTCAGGGATGGCAGGAAGGTCCACACTCTCTTCAAACGCCTTTCTCTCTGGTCCAAGAGATTTTAAAATATGATGTTCCTTCAAAATAATTAACCAATCATCCAAACGATGTTCTGACGTCTTTACACATGTCGGTTCCATCTAGCTTCTTTTAAAATGACAATGTGAAATCTATTTCGCAGGACAGTTAGTAGCAACAAAGTAGAGACCCACAATTAAAACGAATAAGTTAGTGATGAACAAATGCAGACAGAAAACTCTAGCTAAAGCCATACAGTTAAGCGCGAAGACTAACGGTAATGACCAAATATTCTAAAGCACTGAAATAGTATTAACACTTGTTTACCCAGTTTAACGCAGAATACATTATTGTCGCCCTTTCTGCTAACACAATTAACGTCAAATGGAGAAACTGACATCTCCAGAAGAGATTTCCATTGGCACATTATCCGACAAAGAATGAAATTAGTTTTTAGAATATCATAGAGTATACTCCCAAGCGGTTTAATTTAAAAACGAAAACCAGGTACAGTAAACTTTCTGTTAAATCGCTTGTTAGAATAATATACTCACACGAAATCAAACATCAGAAACCAGTAAAATAAAGGGAACAAATCAAGACTTTGCTGCGGAGAAATTCTGAAAGTTTGGGAGCTCTCAAACCTTTATATTTAGTGGATAAGTAGAATAAGTCTAAAATAATCCTAATGGTGATAAGTAAGCAAACTTTAAGACTAAGACAACAATAATTTAACCAGGTATACCTGGTTATGGCGAAATCGTAAACAGCGATGGTGACTGAATGTAATTAAATGACAATTACTACATGAGCTACTTGCAAGCCATATTAAAATGCATTATCTAATGCTATAGATAAAGATAGGTTGTAGCAGCCACCAAACGATCTTGAGCAAACAAGTGTCTAGTATTGAAATCAGTGTGTTTCGCCTCAACGGCATTCTGTCAACCTGATTTATCTCATTTTAATGTGTGGCTTGAGGTCAACAATTAGATTAGGGTTAGAAGTCGAAGATAAGCTTAAGTTTGTTTAAGCGTTATAGTCCGGGTTTCCCAAGCTTACTATAATTCTAAACTAATTCTTGACCATTCGTTGATAATACCGTCTTATGGTAAATGAGTGTTTTGTCTAATTTAAATGAATCTATTATATACTGAAGTATCTCTGGCAGTGCTTAAAATTAGCACTCTTAGGTAACTTGACAAGTCGTGAAAAAGAAGAGTATATGGTGGTTAAACCTGAATCGCCAGTAGTTATCAACAGACGAATGACTTCGAACGTACCAACGATAAGAGAGCGACTTTAACGTATAAATTACATATAATTATGAAGATAATGAATTAAAAGGCATGGAACTGTTACACAAGATACATTTCTTTGGCATGTGACAAAAATGTCACTTAGTTTTGTACTGCAGTGTCGCCAGCATAATTTAACCACACTCCATGCACGAACTTACCTTGGTCTTATAACCTTAGTAATAAACTTTATCAATCCCTAGAGGGCACGCAGTGAAATGAATCAAGCGCTATACAACATTGAACTCCGTTCGTGAATCTCATTGGATAATTCGACGTCGTTCGCTGATTGGTAGTTACTGGTGTTTAAAGTTTAACTTGGCCCCACTAGTATTTCTATCATTGGTCAGCTTGACATTATATTCGGAATCTCAGTTGCGGCACTTCCAAGGCTGAACTTGTCCGGCACGTTCAGGGTCATTGGTGGAGTGAGACACTTGAAAGTTATTTTCGTCCATGTTAGTCAGCCATGTTGTAGTGCAGTTCCCTAGCCGTTCGTTTACATATTGGTTTTTACGTTTATCCTGCAGTTATTCACAACTTATCTTGATGCATATTGTTCAAAAATGTTGCATTTCGCCTCAATTTTGTTTCCGTTGCTGTTAAAATTAGTTGTTTCGTTGGATTTTAAAGTTTTTACCACCAGGTCAGTTCATTCCTTTCATTCTAATTGTTTCATGCTTGGTTTCAGTGTTCTTGTTGTTTTTTCAGCTATCAATGAATTGGTACTGTGTAGAAGTTTTGGAAATTATGCACATGAACATCCAACATCGTTTTTACGAGCTAGTATAAACCAGTTTGATTTCTTTGTGCTCGCCTCTTGATTGCGAGGTATAGGTTCCTGATCTTCGGCAAACTTCTGCGTAGCTCGTCCCGCCACTCGACTGTCGTAGCTTCAGTTGACTCCAAAAGGAGTTGTGCTGGAATTAATTATATGTGGTTTGTAGTATCAGGTGTGTTAAGACTGTTACTACTGTGAATAAAGTTGATCATATCCCTAGTTAGTCCTCCGGTATCGTCGTCAAAAAAAGAGTCAATAATAATAACTGATATAATTAGTGAAGTTATTCGGACTAACAGACAGAAAAATAAATAAAGAAAACGTAACAACAGTCAGCTGATTAAATTTGAAGAATAATATGAACAATATATATCCTTTATATATACTTAGACATAATGAGTCACCTTTCCGCTATGACAACCTGGGAAACGCAGGTATACCATCAAACCTCCCCAGAAAAAAGCCTGTAACAGTACGCAGTTGAAAAAAATAAATAAATAAAAATACAGTATAAAAATATCAAGACAAAAATGAATATAAATAAATGATGTAAAAAAAGATAAAAAAGAACCAAACACAACTTAGAAGCATGCATCGCACCCAGGCACCAGCGTCATTTCTTCTTATATTCCGTCTTACTCCACTAACCACGTAAATAGTGCCTCTAAATTGCCTTAACTTTTTCTTCTTTCCTTCCACAATTTTTTTTATTACTATCTTCAAACTTCCTCGTTCATTCACTGTTATTGTACAAAGCCTCGCTTCTTTTGTATACCGAAGCTTGCTGGTTTCCCACCAACCTTCTAAGGAGGGGGATAACCTGCAGTGTACATTGAACATTTGAACTTTTGTTTGAACTCACTCACCCACTTTTAGCACTACTTCATCTTTTGATTTGTGACTCTCATGTACATTTTTGATTCGCTCTGTCGTTGTGCTTTCATCCAGCTCACTCTCCGAGTCTACCACAGTCAAGGCAGAAGATAATTTGTATAACCTCTTGTCTTATCAAATTTCATATCTCATTTGTGTAAAATATAACTCTGTTCCAGACACACTTGTTATCTCAAGTCTTTTTACCTTGATTCCTTTCGCCAGTACTTGCACTTTGGGAAGAGTACAGCTAAGGTTATAATGCGGTGAAGAAGTTTTGTAGGAGTGGTTATTCTGAGGTCTACATTAAGCCAAGTTCTGGTCATACATATATATATCGGCAATAATGATAACAATAATAAGTGTTGTTAAAGTTGTCAGGACAGTAGGACGGGAGAGAATGTTAAGAAGTAAAACGACGAACTTGGTTGTCTACCCCTGAATGGTGTATGGGATTTTAGGGGGATAGGTCATTTGGATGCAGTCCTTGTGTCGCTGTATGATTGTCCATCCATCGCTTAAAGGCGTCCACAGACAGTGCCATAGCTACATCTGCCGGTAAGGAATTCCAGGGACGGCAAAGACGCAGTGAAAAGGAGTGGGAGCGCACCTGGTTGCTTGCCCTCTGGTGAGCTATCCTTCTGTGATTTCCACGAGGAAGCCTATACCTACTCAATAGCAGAACATTTTCGTTTGGGTGACTCTGGTCATTTGTTATTTTGTAGGCAGTAATCAAATCCCCATAAGCTCGGTGTGTCATTAGGCCTGATTTCTGTAGCCTCTCATTTTATGGTTTGTTTTGGAGACCAACCACTCCTTTTGTTGCCTGTCTTTGAACTCTTTCCAAAGGGTTGGCGTCTCTTCTAAACAGTGGGGGTACAATGATATTGTTCACTTCAAAGTGCAGTCTGACGTATGTTTTGTGCAACCTTAAAAAGAGTTCAGGATTGACTGTACCTAAGTGTCTATATGTAAAGTATATGGCTTCATATGCCCCATAAAATTCACGCTTGTGTCCATTTTTCCGTTAGAACTAGACCTAAGTCACGCCTCGACGTTGCTGCACAGGGTAAAACTTCATTCTGCAGTCTACAGATGCGTAATTTCACCACTCTGCAGTTTTTCAGGTTGAAAGTCATGCCTTGGGCCACCGCCCAGTCTTCCAGAAGCTTTAGATCTGCCTGCAGCCTATCTGAGCCCTCCGGACACTTTATTGCCCTACATATCTTTACGTCGTCAGCGTATAGAAGAGTCAGGTAGCTTAGACGGCATGGTAGATCATTGATAAAAATCAAAAACATCAGTGGCCCTAGGTTAGAACCGTGCAACACTTCCGATGACGAGCTGTGCCAAGATGATCGAATTCGATTGACCTTAGTGCGAAATTGCCTTTCAGCTAGGTAGTCCTTTAACCATGACAGAAGTAGCTTACCTATACCTGCCTGACTTATTTTGTGTAGGAGAAGGTCATGGCGAACTGTGTCAAATGCCTTCTCAAAGTCTAGGAAGACCACATGGACTGGAACATTCATATCCCAGCATGATGTCCAGTCATCCCAAGCTGATAGTAGGTTTAATACACAGGATCTGCCTTTCCTGAAACCGTGTTGGGCTTCATGGTGTATATTAGACCTATCGAGGTTATCCTTGGTGTGATCGTCAATAATATTTTCCAGTACTTTTGATACCACTGGGGGTAGAGCTACTGGTCTATAACTAGTGGCATTTTGCCTATGCCCACTCTTGAAGATTGGAAAAAGGATGGCTCTTTTCCACTCCCTTGGCAGTTTCCTTGAATTCATCGAGTGTTGGAACAAGTTGCATGAGGGCCTACAGAAAGCTTCGGCGCACTATTTCAGAATAGATGGCCTGATGCCGTCACGACCTAGGGACTTCCCAGGTATGAGTCGCTATAGCTTCCCTAGTACTATTGCCGGGTTTATTTGGGGAGTAGCCACTAGGTCTTCCTCCGGTGAAATAGTAGTGCCACCATTTTGGCCCGTACCAATGATACCCACATCGCTGTTTAGCTGTTTGGTGAAGGCTAAACTGAATGTTTCAGCCATCTCCAGACTAGTGAGATATTGACCGTTTGGGCCTACTAAGGCGCATGCCCCCTGGTTGGTTGGTTTTCTTTCCGATATGACACGGTACAAGTTCTTGGGGTTTGTTAGGAGTTTTTTAGCAAGCTTAGCCTGGAATGACCTCCTGTCCCTCCTGACTCTTGCATTGCACCAGTTCCTGAGTTCCAGGTATGCATCGTGGTCGATCTGACTCTTAGATACGCGCCACGTAAACCAAGCTTTCCGCTTTGCTTGCAGAATATGCTGCGTGCCTCTCTTTAACCATGATGACTTTCTTTTGGGCTGTGATGTGACTAAAGGGACGGTATCCGAGATTACTGTGTGAATAATCTTTTACCACTTACCAGCGTTCGTCCACAGATAGCTCACCCCATGCTAAGGGCCAGTCTGCGTCGGACAAAAGCCTCCGCATTTCAGCATAGTCAGCCTTGCCTTAACACAGACGTGGTCGCATAACGTCCCACTGCAAGAGCTCACGGAGAACAAGATCGAAACCCATGACTGCATAGCCCTAGAGATGTCATGATCTGCGCCTTTTCAACGAGTAGTTGGTCACTAGTTTTGATGACTTTCCACTAGGGCCCCACCTAGTGTCGTCTCCAACATTCTCAGCCAATCCCGTATTTCTAATAGTTTGCAGTAGATTTCGGCCGAATTTTCCCTAAGCACACCCCGAGCCAAGGTTCAGTGATGGACCATTGAAATCTCAAGCTATGGTGATTTGGTCATAGCCCAAGTCCCGTATCCCTGTGATAGTGCTGAGCAGTAGTTGGTTGTGCTCTGCCCCACGGGTGGGTGAAAGCGGAGTGCGTCGGCCGGGAACATGTTTCGGTGGCAGAAGCCATTGTTTCCAGTTCATTCGTTGGTTGCCGTTATAGTTGCTGGCTCAATTGATTACCTTATGTGTAGAAATCTGGAATAAACAATGTCTTTCATATTCATGTTTACAGCATGCAGGAATCTACCAGTCAGTGTGGTTAGGAGAGTACGATATATATTTATTCCTGTTTGTGCAGGGACATACCAATTGTACAGGCATGGATAAGTTATCATATAAATTACACATGTTTCGATGTATGTTGAATTTACAATTTGTTTGTTCTTTATGACATTAGTCAGTCGGAACAGTCTGCAAAACAGTCTGTGTGTAACACATAAAGAGATATAGAAATACTGTCTTCGCATTAACAAAAAACCCAGACATCAGATGAATGTAATACAAATATCTGGGAAAAATAAAGCTTGATGTCAGTTCTCCTATATAACTTTGTTATGAACAGCATCCTTAAGTTAAAGTTTATTGATGTATTATTTTGAGTCAGTGATGTATTTATTCCATATTTTGCAGTCTAATCGAAGTTTTATAATAGGAAAGAAATTTGATCGTGGATACGAAAACTAGATAAGGTCATCTTAGATTGTTTTACTGCGTGGAATGGGTTGTTGAATACTGCTCACAATCAATTAGGTCAGTCAACGCACACGACAACGAAATTACTTTCAAATTATTTAAT